GGGAGGGGAGGGGAGCGAAAGGGCGCGGAGATTCGTGCTGTTAATAACGCTCGTTTCCTTGCCCCGCGGCGGCCGCGGACTCCTCAGAATGGGGGATTCAAATGGGGGAAAATGTTCTTTTTTACGAAGCGAAAGAAATTAACTGTCCAGTTCATGGAGGTTTCCGCTGCACGTAGTGTTTCAGGATTGCAAATTTCCTCCTAAGGGCGTCATTCGTGGAGATGAGTGAGTGAGTATTGAGCCGAGCACGCTAATTACTACCGGGATTAATTCATTAATTTTCTAAGCAGTTCCAAATATCTGAAAAAAATTAAGTGATTCTCTCTTAAAGACATTTTTGTAACATGTAATATACAATCCATAACCGTAAGAATGTTTAGCTAATCTCTTTTATCATGTGCCGTTAAGTAAACAAGTACCCAATTCAGATTACATAACGTATCTAAGAATTAGCAATAAAACAATTTCTTGTACATGAACTAACCCATTAATTGTAAACAAAGTTATTTACCTGTTTAATAATGCTGTCATAGATATTTGTATTTTCTGCCTGTTAAAATTACTAATTTTCTTTCCGAGCATTCACATTTTTAAAGGGAATTGCCCTCGAGCGTTTCCTCCAAAACTCAGTTCTGCCTGTTAATTCTAAGCAAGTTACAGCGCGGGAGGTGGTGAGGATTCCCACTGAAATACGAAATTCTTTAGCGACACCACGTCAGCTTCAAAGGTTTCCCCGCCGGACATCTCCTCCAGCGGGTCATCGTCCTAATTGGGAATACTGCAAAGCTCCAGATTGCTCTCCCGACACGTGGTTTTGCTATTTGGGATGATGTGTGTGTTGTTTTGTTGTTTTTGTTGCAGTGTGTTTCCAAAGAGACGGTGCATTGTTATGTTTGCAAAGAGACTGCAATCACTTTAGCGAGTGTTTATAAAGCATGTTCATAGCAATTTTATAATTTAGAAAATATTTAAATTTTACATTACATTTACATTTAAAAAAATACTCATTTGTGAAGAAAACGAACACATATAATTTATTCATTACTCCGGTTCATACAAATGTTTGAAAATATGGTTTAATTCTTGCGAAAGTTAACATTTTAATTCAAATTAAAACAATTAAATGAAGTGAAGAACTTTTTTATGAAATATACAAGTAAAATAAAATAATAGTATGAAGAAGCAATACAAAATTTAGATTCAAATAAAGTAAATTATAATTAACATTAGAACTAATGTGAATTACAGCCATGCAAATATCTTAAAACTATAAAGCGTAATTTCAGTAATAAACCAAGGCT